ACCGCCACTACCAGACGGTGGATGGGGCCGCCACTACCAGACGGTGGATGGAGCCGCCATACCAGACGGTGGATGGAGCCGCCACTACCAGACGGTGGATGGAGCCGCCACTACCAGACGGTGGATGGAGCCGCCACTACCAGACGGTGGATGGAGCCGCCACTACCAGACGGTGGATGGAGCCGCCACTACCAGACGGTGGATGGAGCCGCCACTACCAGAGGGTGGATGGAGCCGCCCCTACCAGACGGTGGATGGAAACCGCCACTACCAGACGGTGGATGGAGCCGCCACTACCAGACGGTGGATGGAGCCGCCATACCAGACGGTGGATGGAGCCGCCACTACCAGACGGTGGATGGAGCCGCCACTACCAGACGGTTTGGGTGGAGCCGCCACTACCAGACGGTGGATGGAACCGCCCCCTACCAGACGGTGGATGGGCCGCCACTACCAGACGGTGGATGGAGCCGCCACTACCAGACGGTGGATGGAGCCGCCACTACCCGACGGTGGATGGAGCCGCCACTACCCGACGGTGGATGGAACCGCCACTACCCCGACGGGGGGTGGAGCCGCCACTACAGACGGTGGATGGAACCGCCACTACCAGACGGTGGATGGAGCCGCACTACCAGACGGTGGATGGAGCCGCCACTTTCCCGACGGTGGATTGAGCCGCCACTACCAGGGCGGTGGATGGAACCGCCACTACCAGACGGGGGGATGGGGGCCGCCATACCAGACGGTGGATGGAACCGCCACTACCGACGGTGGATGGAGCCGCCACTACCAGACGGTGGATGGAGCCGCCACTACCAGACGGTGGATGGAGCCGCCACTACCAGACGGTGGATGGAACCGCCACTACCAGATGGTGGATGGAGCCGCCACTACCCAGACGGTGGATGGAGCCGCCACTACCAGACGGTGGATGGAGCCGCCACTACCAGACGGTGGATGGAACCGCCACTACCAGACGGGGATGGAGCCGCCCCTACCAGACGGTGGATGGAACCGCCACTACCAGACGGTGGATGGAGCCGCCACTACCAGACGGTGGATGGAGCCGCCACTACCAGACCCGGTGGATGGAACCGCCACTACCAGACCCGGGGGATGGAGCCGCCACTACCAGACGGTGGATGGGGGCCGCCACTACCAGACGGTGGATGGAACCGCCACTACCAGACGGTGGATGGAGCCGCCACTACCAGACGGTGGATGGAGCCGCCACTACCAGACGGTGGATGGAGCCGCCACTACCAGACGGTGGATGGAGCCGCCACTACCAGACGGTGGGGTGGAAAACCCCCACTACCAGACGGTGGAGGAGCCGCCACTACCAGACGGTGGATGGGAACCGCCCCTACCAGACGGTGGATGGAGCCGCCACTACCAGGACGGTGGATGGAGCCGCCACTACCAGACGGTGGATGGAGCGCCACTACCAGACGGTGGATGGGGGCCGCCACTAAACCCGACGGGTGGATGGAGCCGCCCCTACCAGACGGTGGATGGAACCGCCACTACCAGGGCGGTGGATGGAGCCGCCACTACCAGACGGTGGGGTGGAGCCGCCACTACCAGACGGTGGATGGAGCCGCCCCTACCCGACGGGGGGATGGAACCGCCACTACCAGACGGTGGATGGAGCCGCCATACCAGACGGTGGATGGAACCGCCACTACCCGACGGTGGATGGAGCCGCCACTACCAGACGGTGGATGGAGCCGCCACTACCAGACGGTGGATGGAACCGCCACTACCAGACGGTGGATGGAGCCGCCACTACCAGACGGGGGATGGAGCCGCCACTACCAGACGGTGGATGGAACCGCCACTACCAGACGGTGGATGGAGCCGCCACTACCAGACGGTGGATGGAGCCGCCACTACCAGACGGTGGATGGAGCCGCCACTACCCGACGGTGGATGGAACGCCACTACCAGACGGTGGATGGAACCGCCAATTCCAGACGGTGGGGTGGAGCCGCCACCCACCAGACGGTGGATGGAGCCGCCACTTACCAGACGGTGGATGGAACCGCCACTACCAGACGGTGGATGGAGCCGCCACTACCAGACGGTGGATGGAGCCGCCCCCTACCAGACGGTGGATGGAGCCGCCACTACCAGACGGTGGATGGAGGGCCGCCACTACCAGACGGTGGATGGAACCGCCACTACCAGACGGTGGATGGAGCCGCCACTACCAGACGGTGGATGGACCGCCACTACCAGACGGTGGATGGAGCGCCACTACCAGACGGTGGATGGAGCCGCCACTACCAGACGGTGGATGGAGCCGCCACTACCAGACGGTGGATGGAGCCGCCACTACCGACGGTGGATGGAGCCGCCACTACCAGACGGTGGATGGAACCGCCACTACCAGACGGTGGATGGAGCCGCCACTACCAGACGGTGGATGGAGCCGCCACTACCAGACGGTGGATGAGCCGCCACTACCAGACGGTGGATGGAACCGCCACTACCAGACGGTGGATGGAGCCGCCACTACCAGACGGTGGATGGAACCGCCACTACCAGACGGTGGATGGAGCCGCCACTACCAGACGGTGGATGGAGCCGCCACTACCAGACGGTGGATGGAACCGCCACTACCAGACGGTGGATGGAGCCGCCACTACCAGACGGTGGATGGAGCCGCCACTACCAACGGTGGATGGAGCCGCCACTACCAGACGGTGGATGGAGCCGCCACTACCAGACGGTGGATGGAACCGCCACTACCAGACGGTGGATGGAGCCGCCACTACCAGACGGTGGATGGAACCGCCACTACCAGACGGTGGATGGAAACCGCCACTACCAGACGGGGGATGGAGCCGCCACTACCAGACGGTGGATGGAGCCGCCACTACCAGACGGTGGATGGAGCCGCCACTACAGACGGTGGATGGGAGCCACCCCTACCAGACGGTGGTGAGCCGCCACTACCAGACGGTGGATGGAAGCCGCCCTACCAGACGGTGGATGGAGCCCACTACCAGACGGTGGATGGAACCGCCACTACCAGACGGTGGATGGAGCCGCCACTACCAGACGGTGGATGGAGCCGCCACTACCAGACGCTGGATGGAGCCACCACTACCAGACGGTGTATGGAGCCGCCACTACCAGACGGTGGATGGAACCGCCACTACCAGACGGTGGATGGAGCCGCCACTACCCCACGGTGGATGGAGCCGCCACTACCAGACGGTGGATGGAGCCGCCACTACCAGACGGTGGATGGAACCGCCACTACCAGACGGTGGATGGAGTCGCCACTACCAGACGGTGGATGGAGCCGCCACTACCAGACGGTGGGGTGGGGCCTCCACTACCAGACGGTGTATGGAGCCGCCACTACCAGACGGTGGATGGACCCGCCACTACCAGACGGGGGATGGAGCCGCCACTACCAGACGGTGGATGGAGCCGCCACTACCAGACGGTGGATGGAGCCGCCACTACCAGACGGTGGATGGAGCCGCCGCCACTACCAGACGGTGGATGGGGCCCGGGCCCCTACCAGACGGTGGATGGAGCCGCCACTACCAGACGGTGGATGGAACCGCCACTACCAGACGGTTGGATGGAGCCCCCACTACCAGACGGTGGATGGAACCCCCACTACCAGACGGTGGATGGAGCCGCCACTACCAGACGGTGGATGGGGCCGCCACTACCAGACGGTGGATGGAGCCGCCACTACCAGACGGTGAATGGAGCCGCCACTACCAGACGGTGGATGGACCACCACTACCAGACGGTGGGTGGAGCCGCCACTACCAGACGGTGGATGGAGCCGCCACTACCAGACGGTGGATGGAACCTCCACTACCAGACGGTGGATGGGAGCCGCCACTTCCAGACGGTGGATGGAGCCGCCACTACCAGACGGTGGATGGGCCGCCACTACCAGACGGTGGATGGAACCGCCTACCAGACGGTGGATGGAGCCCCCACTACCAGACGGTGGATGGAGCCCCCACTAAACCCGACGGTGGATGGAGCCGCCACTACCAGACGGTGTATGGAGCCGCCACTACCAGACGGTGGATGGAACCGCCACTACCCCGGGCGGTGGATGGAGCCGCCACTACCACACGGTGGATGGAGCCGCCACACAGACGGTGGATGGAGCCGCCCCTACCAGACGGTGGATGGAAAACCCCCACTACCAGACGGGGATGGAGCCGCCACTACCAGACGGTGGATGGAGCCGCCACTACCAGACGGTGGATGGAACCTCCACTACCAGACGGTGTATGGAGCCGCCACTACCAGACGGTGGATGGAACCGCCACTACCAGACGGTGGATGGAGCCGCCACTACCAGACGGTGGATGGAGCCGCCACTACCAGACGGTGGATGGAGCCGCCCCTACCAGACGGTGGATGGAGCCGCCCTACCAGACGGGGGATGGGAAACCGCCACTACCAGACGGTGGATGGAGCCGCCACTACCAGACGGTGGATGGAACCGCCACTACCAGACGGTGGATGGAGCCGCCACTACCAGACGGTGGATGGAGCCGCCACTACCAGACGGTGGATGGAACCGCCACTACCAGACGGTGGATGGAGCCGCCACTACCAGACGGTGGATGGAACCGCACTACCAGACGGTGGATGGAGCCGCCACTACCAGACGGTGGATGGAGCCGCCACTACCAGACGGTGGATGGAGCCGCCACTACCAGACGGTGGATGGAGTCGCCACTACCAGACGGTGCATGGAGCCGCCACTACCAGACGGTGGATGGAGCCGCCACTACCAGACGGTGGATGGAGCCGCCACTACCAGACGGTGGATGGAGCCGCCACTACCAGACGGTGGATGGAGCCGCCACTACCAGACGGTGGATGGAGCCGCCACTACCAGACGGTGGATGGAGCCGCCACTATTCTTTGCGTTTAATGCTTCACACGGCTTTAGCGCTTCATCAAAGAATGAGGCAAGATACAACAGTAATGTTTACACTCACCCCAGTGTCAGATGTGTAAGACACCTGCTCGTATAGGGACAAGATCCGCGTCTGGTCTGTGGCAGCCATCTTGGTCCTCGACCCACTTTTTCACTGCGTTACCTGCAAAATATATATATATAAGCATTAATTGTAACACCTGGCAGATGGGAGGAAATGAAGCCAATAGAGTAACCAGCATGGTAAACCTTATGTGTATCCGGTGTTTGCTAATAATTCTAAACAAAACTAGTCCTATAAGTCTGTGCTCCATCTCTCGTGTGCATTAATATCATGTACAATGTAAAGCACTAACTCATACAACACCAGAGAAAACTGAAGATAATCTGGTTTGATCCCAGGATGCACTGATTCATTTCCTATTAATTATATGTTATGCCAGAAAATTTCCTGTTAGTATTTTGGGGTATATGATGTGTTATGATAAGTATATATCAGTCATGGTCTTACTAATGTATCCTGGGAACACGTATGTCTTAGTCATGGTCTTACTAATGTATCCTGGGAACACGTATGTCTTAGTCATGGTCTTACTAATGTATCCTGGGAACAAGTATGTCTTAGTCATGGTCTACTAATGTATCCTTGGGAACACGTATGTCTTAGTCATGATCTTACTAATGTATCCTGGGAACACGTATGTCTTAGTCATGGTCTTACTAATGTATCCTGGGAACACGTATGTCTTAGTCATGGTCTTACTAAAGATCCTGGGAAAAACGTATGTCTTAGTCATGGTCTTACTAATGTATCCTGGGAACAACTATGTCTTAGTCATGGTCTACTAATGTATCCTGGGAACAAGTATGTCTTAGTCATGGTCTTACTAATGTATCCTGGGAACAAGTATGTCTTAGTCATGGTCTTACTAATGTAAACCTGGGGAAAAAGTATGTCTTAGTCATGGTCTTACTAATGTATCCTGGGAACAAGTATGTCTTAGTCATGGGCTTACTAATGTATCCTGGGGAAAACGTATGTCTTAGTCATTATCTTACTAATTTTATCCTGGGAAAAACGTATGTCTTAGTCATGGTCTTACTAATGTATCCTGGGAACACGTATGTCTTAGTCATGGTCTTGCTAATGTATCCTGGAAACGTATGTCTTAGTCATGGTCTTACTAATTTTATCCTGGGAACAAGTATGTCTTAGTCATGGTCTTACTAATGTATCCTGGGAACACGTATGTCTTAGTCATGGTCTTACTATGTATCCCGGGAACACGTATGTCTTAGTCATGGTCTTACTAATGTATCCTGGGAAACACGTATGTCTTAGTCATGGTCTTACTAAGTATCCTGGGGAAAAAGTATGTCTTAGTCATGATCTTACTATGTATCCTGGGAAAAAACGTATGTTTAGTCATGGTCTTACTAATGTATCCTGGGACACGTATGTCTTAGTCATGGTCTTACTAATGTATCCTGGGAACAAGTATGTCTTAAATCATGGTCTTACTAATGTTCCCCGGGAAAAACGTATGTCTTAGTCATAGTCTTACTAATGTATCCTTGGGGGAAAAAGTATGTCTTAGTCATGGTCTTACTAATGTATCCTGGGAACAAGTATGTCTTAGTCATGGTCTTACTAATGTATCCTAGGAACAAGTATGTCTTAGTCATGATCTTACTAATGTATCCTGGGAACACGTATGTCTTAGTCATGGTCTTACTAATGTATCCTGGGAACACGTATGTCTTAGTCATGGTCTTACTAATGTATCCTGGAACAAGTATGTCTTAGTCATGGTCTTACTAATGTATCCTGGGAACAACGTATGTCTTAGTCATGGCCTTACTAATGTATCCTGGGAACAAGTATGTCTTAGTCATGGTCTTACTAATGTATCCTGGGAAACAAGTATGTCTTAGTCATGGTCTTACTAATGTATCCTGGAAACACGTATGTCTTAGTCATGGTCTTACTAATGTATCCTGGGAACAAGTATGTCTTAGTCTTGGTCTTACTAATGTATCCTGGGAACAAGTATGTCTTAGTCGTGGTCTTACTAATGTATCCTGGGAACAAGTATGTCTTAGTCATGGTCTTACTAATGTATCCTGGGAACAAGTATGTCTTAGTCATGGTCTTACTAATGTATCCTGGGAACACGTATGTCTTAGTCATGGTCTTACTAATGTATCCTGGGAACACGTATGTCTTAGTCATGGTCTTACTAATGTATCCTGGGAACAAGTATGTCTTAGTCATGGTCTTACTAATGTATCCTGGAAACAAGTATGTCTTAGTCATGGTCTTACTAATGTATCTTGGGAACAAGTATGTCTTAGTCATGGTCTTACTAATGTATCCTGGGAACACGTATGTCTTAGTCATGATCTTACTAATGTATCCTGGGAATAAAGTATGTCTTAGTCATGGTCTTACTAATGTATCCTGGGAACAAGTATGTCTTAGTCATGGTCTTATTAATGTATCCTGGGAACAAGTATGTCTTAGTCATGGTCTTACTAATGTATCCTGGGAACACGTATGTCTTAGTCATGGTCTTACTAATGTATCCTGGGAACACGTATGTCTTAGTCATGGTCTTACTAATGTATCCTGGGAACAAGTATGTCTTAGTCATGGTCTTACTAATGTATCCTGGGAACACGTATGTCTTAGTCATGGTCTTACTAATGTATCCTGGGAACAATATGTCTTAGTCATTGTCTTACTAATGTATCCTGGGAACAAGTATGTCTTAGTCATGGTCTTACTAATGTATCCTGGGAACAAGTATGTCTTAGTCATGGTCTTACTAATGTATCCTGGGAACAAGTATGTCTTAGTCATGGTCTTACTAATGTATCCTGGGAACACGTATGTCTTAGTCATGGTCTTACTAATGTATCCTGGGAACACGTATGTCTTAGTCATGGTCTTACTAATGTATCCTGGGAACAAGTATGTCTTAGTCATGGTCTTACTAATGTATCCTGGGAACACGTATGTCTTAGTCATGTCTTACTAATGTATCCTGGGAACAAGTATGTCTTAGTCATGGTCTTACTAATGTATCCTGGGAACAAGTATGTCTTAGTCATGGTCTTACTAATGTATCCTGGGAACAAGTATGTCTTAGTCATGGTCTTACTAATGTATCCTGGGAAACAAGTATGTCTTAGTCATGGTCTTACTAATGTATCTGGGAACACGTATGTCTTAGTCATGGTCTTACTAATGTATCCTGGGAACAAGTATGTCTTAGTCATGGTCTTACTAATGTATCCTGGGAACAAGTATGTCTTAGTCATGGTCTTACTAATGTATCCTGGGAACAAGTATGTCTTAGTCATGGTCTTACTAATGTATCCTGGGAACACGTATGTCTTAGTCATGGTCTTACTAATGTATCCTGGGAACACGTATGTCTTAGTCATGGTCTTACTAATGTATCCTGGGAACACGTATGTCTTAGTCATGGTCTTACTAATGTATCCTGGGAACAAGTATGTCTTAGTCATGATCTTACTAATGTATCCTGGGAACACGTATGTCTTAGTCATGGTCTTACTAATGTATCCTGGGAACACGTATGTCTTAGTCATGGTCTTACTAATGTATCCTGGGAACAAGTATGTCTTAGTCATGGTCTTACTAATGTATCCTGGGAACACGTATGTCTTAGTCATAGTCTTACTAATGTATCCTGGGAACAAGTATGTCTTAGTCATGGTCTTACTAATGTATCCTGGGAACAAGTATGTCTTAGTCATGGTCTTACTAATGTATCCTAGGAACAAGTATGTCTTAGTCATGGTCTTACTAATGTATCCTGGGAACAAGTATGTCTTAGTCATGGTCTTACTAATGTATCCTGGGAACAAGTATGTCTTAGTCATGGTCTACTAATGTATCCTGGGAACAAGTATGTCTTAGTCATGGTCTTACTAATGTATCCTGGGAACAAGTATGTCTTAGTCATGGTCTTACTAATGTATCCTGGGAACACGTATGTCTTAGTCATGGTCTTACTAATGTATCCTGGGAACACGTATGTCTTAGTCATGGTCTTACTTATGTATCCTGGGAACAAGTATGTCTTAGTCATGATCTTACTAATGTATCCTGGGAACACGTATGTCTTAGTCATGGTCTTACTAATGTATCCTGGGAACAAGTATGTCTTAGTCATGGTCTTACTAATGTATCCTGGGAAACGTATGTCTTAGTCATGGTCTTACTAATGTATCCTGGGAAACACGTATGTCTTAGTCATGGTCTTACTAATGTATCCTGGGAACACGTATGTCTTAGTCATGGTCTTACTAATGTATCCTGGGAACACGTATGTCTTAGTCATGGTCTTACTAATGTATCCTGGGAACAAGTATGTCTTAGTCATGATCTTACTAATGTATCCTGGGAACACGTATGTCTTAGTCATGGTCTTACTAATGTATCCTGGGAACACGTATGTCTTAGTCATGGTCTTACTAATGTATCCTGGGAACAAGTATGTCTTAGTCATGGTCTTACTAATGTATCCTGGGAACACGTATGTCTTAGTCATGGCCTTACTAATGTATCCTGGGAACAAGTATGTCTTAGTCATGGTCTTACTAATGTATCCTGGGAACAAGTATGTCTTAGTCATGGTCTTACTAATGTATCCTGGAAACACGTATGTCTTAGTCATGGTCTTACTAATGTATCCTGGGAACAAGTATGTCTTAGTCTTGGTCCTACTAATGTATCCTGGGAACAAGTATGTCTTAGTCGTGGTCTTACTAATGTATCCTGGGAACAAGTATGTCTTAGTCATGGTCTTACTAATGTATCCTGGGAACAAGTATGTCTTAGTCATGGTCTTACTAATGTATCCTGGGAACACGTATGTCTTAGTCATGGTCTTACTAATGTATCCTGGGAACACGTATGTCTTAGTCATGGTCTTACTAATGTATCCTGGGAACAAGTATGTCTTAGTCATGGTCTTACTAATGTATCCTGGAAACAAGTCTGTCTTAGTCATGGTCTTACTAATGTATCCTGGGAACAAGTATGTCTTAGTCATTGTCTTACTAATGTATCCTGGGAACACGTATGTCTTAGTCATGATCTTACTAATGTATCCTGGGAACAAGTATGTC